ACAGATGAAAGAATTGTACTTCTTAATAAGATCAGGAAAACAATTCTCAATGTGGATATATTCAAAGTGCTCAAACAAGATAGCACTGCTTGCTACACTATGAAGGAGTTGCTTACAAAGGTCAATCTTGCTACCTGCTCCTTGCCAGTTAGTACTATCTTGTTCGATCTTCAGTCTTTGCTGGACAACGTAACTGGTTACCTTCTCCAAGATGAATCTGCTGCCAAGAAGGTTCAAGAAAAACGCATTGCAATGGATGCTGCTTATGAACAAGCTTCGAAACTCTCACAAGAAGCTGAGGATCAAGCTATGCATCTAAAGCAAGCAAAAACTGATTATGAGGCTCGAGCTGAGTCCATCCTTCTTTGGGAAAGGCAGATTCTTGAACTTCAACAGAAGGTTAAGGAGGCTAAAGAACAACAAATAGCCTTCGAAACCAATATTGCTGGTAACCAATTCGAAGAGCTTCTCAACCAGGGGCTTGCAGAAATGGAAACTGCAGAACAACTCAAGGGAGAAGTGGCAACCTTGGAAGGAGCCAGGCATTTCGCTCAGCAGAGACTTGAATCTTTTCGAAGCACTTTCAACAGATTGAAAAATAATTCTTATTTCTAAATTTCAGTGTTTATTTGATTACAATTTGGTTTTTTATATGTAATATTCGAACAACGCCATTTTGGCATCTCATCTTGCCATTTTGGCATTTTTTATAATATCTTGGTTACATTGTTACTATTCGAATCTCCTGCAGACGTGGCTTATATTTCTTTAAATATTTCCCATTAACCTTTAGGATACGCTTATCATCCACCAATTCTTCGATTTCGTATGCATTGTTTGAGAATACTTTTAATATTCGAAAAGGTCCTTCCCAATGAGGTGACCATTTACCTAATGCTTTATTTTTCTTGTCCATGGGCAATATGACTTTCCAGACTAAGTCATTAATAATGAATACTTTTTTCTTCACCCTTTTGTTGTATGTCCTGGCCACTCTTTCTTTTTGTCTCATCAAAATTTCCAATGCATGTAATCTAACTTCGTCCAACTCAACTAATTCATTCATCATCATTTCCCAATATAATGCAGCTGGGATTTCGTTTTGTCTCTGAATTCGAACTGATTGTAGATGAATTTCTACTGGCAACACTGCATCATGACCAAATGTGAGTTGGAAAGGCGTAGTGTTAGTAGCTTCCTTAGGAGATGTTCTACAGGCCCATAGTATTTGGTCCAAAGTTTTGTGCCAGTTTCTTGGCTTTTTACCAATATGTTTCTTGATTAATCCTATTATCACTTTATTGGCTGCTTCGACTTGACCGTTTGCTTGAGCATAATATGGCGTTGATGTTAGCAATCTAAACCCCATCTCTTGGGCAAATTCTTGCATCTTTCTACCAGTAAACACAGAGCCTTGGTCTGTGGTTATGCTCTATGGCAATCCGAACCTATAGATAATGTGTTTCTGTATAAACTCAATAATAGCCTCTTGATCAGCAACTATTAATGGTATAGCTTCGATCCACTTGGTAAAATAATCTATTCCTACCAAGATATATTTATGTCCTTTGGACGAAGTAGGATTTATTTCTCCTATCAAATCCAATGCCCATCCTCTAAATGGCCATGGTTTGATGATCGAATGCAACTCACTTGCAGGGGCATGTTGAATCCCTGCATGTTTCTGACATTCCTCACATCCTTTAGCAAAGTCTATGTAATCTTTGAGCATGCTAGGCCAATACAAGCCGTATCGAAATAACAGCCATTTCATTTTATGGCCTGCTTGATGTGCCCCACATGCCCCATTGTGGACTTCTGACAATGCTAAGTATGCCTCACTTTCTCCTAGGCATTTCAATAATATGCCCTCTTGGGTCTTTTTGAACAATTCGTTCCCCATGAGGAGATATGACAATGCTCTGTATTTTGTCTTTCTATCCACATTCAGAGTTGGGTTTGCTAAATAACTCATCAGTGGACTTCGCCAATCTGCATCTGATAAAGTGTTTATGGCTAATATTTCGAATCCCTGTTTCTCAGCATATCCCAATTTCATACTTTCTAGATCTGATGGTGTGAATCTAGTAGCCATAACTCTACCCCTTAATTCAACTAAATCCTTAAAGTTCCTGGTAGAAACTTTATAACCCGAAGCCAACTGTGCTAAGTCATTTGCTTCTTGGTTCTCTATTCTTGGTATTATTCTTGGTATATGTTGAATATCCATGTATTCAAATTTCCTTAGTAGCCTGTTGACTATGATGAAGTATATCATCAAGTTTTCCTTTATGCATTTATATTCCTTTGTAATTTGTTTGACCACTAATTCTGAGTCTCCTTTAATTTCGACTCTAGTTGCCCCCAATTCCAACAAAGCTTCAAGTCCAACAATGAGCGCTTCATACTCAGCTTCGTTGTTCGAGCAACGAGGACCATATAATTTATACTTGAATTTTGTTGGAATTCCTTCAGGAGAAATTAGAAGGACTCCAACACCACTTCCATTCCTGTGGGTTGAACCATCAAAGTACAATTTCCATGGTTGTATTTCGACGTAACTCATGACAGTCTGCTCAACCAATGAATGGTCCACAATGAAGTCAGAAATCACTTGACCTTTCACAGCTTTTAAAGGCATGAAAGTTAAAGAATATTCTGTTAAGGCTAAAGCCCATTTACCAACTCTGCTATGCATTATTGGTTTTGAAAGCATGTGTTTAATGACATCGAAATGAGATGAAACATAAACATCAACAGGCTTTATATAATACTTGAGTTTCATACAAGAGAAATACAAACAGAGACATAGCTTTTCTAAATTGATATATCTGGTCTCTGCATCATTTAGTACTCTACTTAAATAGTATATGGCTCTTTCGATACCATTGCTATCTTCTTGTGCTAACATACTACCTATACTAACTTCAGAGGCAGATATGTATAATCTCATGGGCTTCCCCCATGAAGGTGGAGATAATATAGGAGGCTGAGAGAGGTATCTTTTTATCCTGTCAAATGCCTCCTGATGGGCTTCGTTCCATTCGAAGGCTTGGCCTTGCTTTAGACGAAGCAATGGAGAGAAAGCTTGGGTTTTTCCACTCAGATTCGAAATGAATCTTCTGAGGAAATTAATCTTCCCTAGCAGAGATTGCAACTCCCTTTTTGATGTAGGTGCTTTCGTCTCCATTATGGCTTTGGTTTTGTTCTGGTTGATCTCAATCCCTTTCTTGTGAACCACAAAACCAAGGAAATCTCCAGCCTGCACAAAAAATGCACATTTAAGGGGATTCATCTTTAAGCCATGTTTTCTCATTCGTTCGAATGATTGGCTCAAATGATGCAAATGTGTTTCTGCAGATATAGATTTGATGACTATATCATCAATATACACCTGCATAAAGGTTTCAAAGAAATCATGAAAAATCGAATTCATTGCCCTTTGATAAGTTGCCCCAGCGTTCTTTAAACCAAAAGGCATCACCACCTATTTGTAGGTGCCTAAGGCTCCTGGGCAACGAAATGCTGTCTTTGCAACATCTTCTTCAGCAATGAAAATCTGATTATACCCAGAGTATCCATCTAACATACTCAAGTATTCGAACCCTGCAGCAGAGTCTACTAGCATTTCTGCCACAGACATGGAATATTCATCTTTAGGGGTTGCAGTGTTTAAATCCCTAAAATCTATGCAAATTCTTAAAGAACCATTTTTCTTAATAACAGGTACTATATTTGCTAACCATTCGACGTACCTTGTCGTTCTGATGAATTTGCAACGCAGCAACCTTTCGATCTCAGCTTTAATCTTTGTGAGAACCGCTGGTGCGAATCTTCTGGGAGTTTGTTTGATGGGCTTCTTGCCATCTTTGATTGGCAGCCTGTGTTCGACCAACTCCCTCTTTAAACCAGGCATCTCGTCATAATCCCATGCGAAGCAATCTTTGTTTTTCTTGAGGACTTCAATTACTTCCTTCTTGAGGCCTGGGCTAAGTTTTGCACTTATGTAGGTTATTCTTTTCGTTTTTTCATCCCATAAGTTGACTTCTTCGAGTGGATCCTGTGCCAACATTTTGGCACCTGAGTCTATGGGGTCCCTTTCGAAGCCTAAGGGTTCTTTATCATAGATGGCATCCAACCTTTGATCCATCTCAAATTCTTTGAAGGGTGAGCATTTCGAGCCATCCCCACTCACTTCGTTCATCTTTACAGTTAATTTGTTTATTTCAGCCTCTAAGGCTGCTTTTGATTCGTTCTCAGCCATATAGGCCGAAATCCTTTCGAAAAAGGTGGACTCAGTCATAGATAAGGTTGTCGAAGTCCCAGCCTGCTGGCCGTCTTTGTATAGTACTTTCGACTCCCTCGTCTTCACTGATTATTGTTCTATCCCAGTATAAGCCATCATGGCGAAGGGTCATGTAGTAGTGGGCGTTTCTGGTTTCGTTAATCTCATCATTTGGAACACACGGAGCAATCTTTGCCAGATGTTTATCATAATCCCTCTTGTCAACTAAATTGACTGTTGACATAAAGTAACTCTGGTCTGCTTCGATGTTTTCCACGATTCCATCATCTCTCTATAGAACTAGTCGTTGATGCATTGACGAAGGAACTGCCCCTACGCCATGGATCCACTCCCTTCCCAGCAATAAGTTATAGTTGGCATTGGCTTCGATCACCATAAACATGGTGGACCTACAGCTTGAGCCTATTGTCAATTCCAACTGGACCACTCCCAGTGTTTTGCCCACTTTCCCCTCATAATTGGACAGAACCATATTATGGGGCTTGATGTCTCCTTCGCGGATCTCTAATCTTTTCAGCATGAAGTGGGGTATCAAATTGACTGCAGCACCCCCATCCACTAGAACCTTGTTCACACCATGGGCACCAACTTTTGCCCGAATAAATAGTGGCTTAAGATGGTTCTTTATAGCAGGTTCTGGACGTTCGAAGAACGCATTTTGCTCCTCGACAGCCCCATTGTCCATCACATAGTATCACACAGGCCTATGCCTCATCAAATCTGTGGTATCTTCTTCCTCATATTCATCAATTTCGGTTTCCTGCCCAAATTCACAGGGAAGCACAGATACCACGTTACAGTTTAGGTTGAATGAAGACTCCCCCTCCGATTCGAAGTTATCTGTTATCATATCTTCGTCTTCTTCTGGGCCTGGAGTGTATTCCTTTGGTTCATCCAGTTGTACTTCAGAGAAAAGCCTCCTATTAACTGGAGGTTTGTCTTCAGTTTGATTTTTTGGTGTGGGTTTATTGGTGCTAGATTCACCTTGGTTCTTTGTCGAAGTTACCCCTTTATTTGCCACAACTTCTCTCTCAGCCTTTCGAATCCTCTGTTGCCTGCGCCACTGGGATCTCGACATGGGGTTCCTTCCTTTGTAGTTTTCTAATCTTACCTCTTCCCTTTTTGCTATGTTGAATTGCCTTCTGTACGTCATAGCATGGCGTGCATTTCGTTCGGTGTTTCTCCATCTGTCTTTGCCTTTGTTCGGGTAATCTCCTTTCAAACCTGTTATAAAAACATGTACTTCCACTTAGATTAACATAATCAAAATTTCAAAGTCTAGTCTAGCATTGGTTGTCTGCAAATCCTAGCTCAACTAACAAAATCTGATATTGTTAAGTTGAACGCCAACACCATATTCTAGTGATCCATATATAACATAACATAACATTTGACAGTAATGATCTAACCTTTGATGATGCCTAGTATCATGAACAATGTACTGGCTGGTTGTGGTGCAAGAAGTGGACCAACAACAAAAGAAGGGTTAACCACCACAAGATCAATCCCACTTTCCTTTGCAATCCTCCAAGCCTCTCTTTCTCCTAGAGTCTTTGCATATGCATACCACAGCTGCATAATTCATGAGTTCCATTCAAATGCATTTTGTCTCTTTCTATAATGGATCATTGTTCAAGATAAATCATAAAATTTAATGATAAACTTACAAGCAAATCGCCAATTCAATCAATGAAATTGTATGGTCTAATAATTTAAAATTAGAGTTCATGAAATTTTCAAATAACTCAAATTGAAAATCATTTATATTACAATTTTATAACTAAGTTGATCAATTCAAAAGTAGGGCTGTACATGGTTACCATATATGGTAATCCAATCCACTTTTATGGTTATGGTTTACAAACCAAACCATTAATTACAAAAACCGATTTGAAAGACATAATTGGTTCTAAACCGGATTAAAACCGGTTTGAAACCAGTTTTAATTTTAATCCAAATTATTTAAATATAATATAATTTATATTCAATTCATTTTAATTAATAAAATTTTAAACTAATTTAGTACTAATTTTTTTAAACATTAACAAATAATCGCGCTCGTGTTGCAGTTTTTGTAATTTTGGTCGATAGAGGTGTCATGACATTGATTGTGTTCGTCGCGGTGTAAATTATTAATCATAATTTATTTTTTAATATAAAACGGATATAACGGTATCTGTATCGACATCTGTCCAAAACGTTTTGTCGCGGCCGTTCTCACGGTCACATACTGTTTTTAAAACATTTTTATGTTTAAATGATCCTTTTTGTTTTATCAATCCTAAAAGAAAATTCAATTAATATTGAGATAGTATTAATTAATTCACTGTGCACATTCGTTTTCTTTTATACAATATATGTATATATTGAATGAAAAGGGATCAATTTCAAATAAATTTCTTTCAAATTTAAATTTGTCTTCTACAGTAATAATAATATATCTTGCTTTTTCAATGTTTAGTCCACTGTATCTTTCAATTTATTTGAGAGTGTTTGCATATTTTTTAACTATAATTAAACATTTTTACATTTATTCAATAATTAGTCATTTGAAATAAAAGGTTAAACATCATTCAATTTTTATGAAAATGTGTAGAGTTTATTTTCTTGAGAAAGTGTGAAAAATGAAAAGCAGAAAAATTTGATGAGAAAGAAATTTGGATACACAATAACCATTTTATGAGTACCGGTTTACCACTTTGACCATAAATGGACCACCAAATCCAGTATTTAATATTTGGATTGAGTTTTAAAAAATGGAGCAATTTGAATATGAATTTGGTTATCAATAACCAGTTTTTTTGCACACCCCTATCCAAAAGAACTATGGTGTGACCAAGGTTATCTTTGAGGGCATGCAAGGTGGACTACCACTCAGAGCCCAAAGTTTGCCACTGTTAAACGTAGCTAATTAGGGTGATAAATATTTGCTAGGTTGAACCATAACTAACCTACGCAGTACCTCGAAAAACTTAAGACGGACTATGTGTGACATTACTTAATGGTTTATAACAATAGTACTAATTGAGAAGGAAATTAGTATTGTTACATTATGGCGTTTGCAGTATTCCGGTTCACTCCAATGAGACTCATTAAGAGGAGAAACTTGTTGCACATCATCACGGTATCTTATCGAAGAGCAAGAAGATGTTAACACCACACGTTTCACATTTGCTTTGATACACGAGTTCAGCACATTTTGAGTTCCTTTAATACATGGATCAATCAAAGTAGCCTACAAAACATTCCAAACAGCAACAAATTACAACATATATGGATACATAACAATAGGAGTGAAACAAAAAATGTATTACCTGAATGTTGTTATCATATGGAACAATCACAGGAGATGCTGTATGAAAGACACCATCAACACCAGTCACTGCCTCATCAAAACTCCCTTCCACCAACAGATCTGCTTTCAAAATCTTCAACCTCTCTTTATCTCCACTAAATTTAGTCAGATAACCAACCTTCTCCAAATCATCTGAATCAAGTAGATTATTACTAAAATAGAATAAATAATTTTGAACCAGTATTATTATATGTTTGAGATTTTATATATACGAAATAAAGATTATATAGAAATAAAAGGTAGTTGCGTTAAGACATTGATACCTGGATTTCTTACTGTAGTCCTGACTGTGTGACCCTTATCTAGCAAGGCTTTAACAAGATAAGCTGCTATGAAACCAGTGCCTCCGGTGACGCAAAACTCAGGCATCTCTTTCTATTTTTCTGTGTAGTTTATCAATTATATGTTGGGGTCTTATGTAGGATAAGTAAGAACTTGAACTAAAATGGTAAAGTAGGTGAGTCACTTGAGATGCGTGTTCTAATAAAATTGTTTTTTGACTTAAGACTTAAAGTAACAAAAATATTTTCTTGGGTGGGAAATAGATGATTCACTCGAATCATATGAATAGAATAACATAAATAGATGATTCACTTGAATCATATGAATAGAATAACATATTTTATATAGTTAATGTTGGTTAAATTTAAATTAGTCTTGGGTAAATTAAAAGGCAGATTCTCTTGGATATTGAGATGTTTATTCTTTAGGAAACTAGAAATAGTAAATGTTGTAACTTTAAATATTCTATCATGTGACTCTATATAAATTATATTGTATCTCATTTTACAAGTTAGTTTGGACAATATACAAAAAGAAGTTTATAGTCCACTCTTATTCTCTTCATATTTCTTCAAATTGGTATCAAAACGCATGGAAAATATGTTGGGACAAATGGAACTGCCACGATGAAGGCGCTGTCGGGATCGTTAGATGTATGAGAAGTAACTAACGATGGGTTTGAAGAACCATCAAATACGACAGCAAACACAACTGCTCAGAACAAGGCATTGAAAGAAACACGAGCAAAGGATAAAACAACATTGTACATGCTGTTCAGAGCAATTGACGAATCAGTCTTTGAAAAGATAGTCGGTTCGACTACATCGAAGGAGGCGTGGGACACGCTAGAAAAAATTTCAAAGGAGCAGATAGAGTCAAGCAAGTTCGATTGCAGACTCTTCGAGGAGAAATGGAGAGAATGAAGATGAAGGAGACATAGTCCATATCAGACTACATCACTCGTGTGCAGACAGTGGCAAATCAACTAAATCGAAATGGAGAAGCAATGTTTGATGCTCGTATTGTCGGAAAGATTCTGAGATCTTTGACAGACAAGTTTGAAAACAGTATGCGCAATAGAAGAAGTAAAAGACCTTTCGACAATCACTGTCGAAGAAGTGGCTGGTTCGCTTGAGGCACATGAACAGCGTAAAATAAAGAAGAAAGAGGAGGCACTTGAGGATGCAGAACCCAACAGAGATGAAAATGAAATTTTCTCTCAAAATTGGCATGGGAGAGGACATGGACGTGGAGGACGTAATGGTCGTCGAAGTTACCAAAATAACAACTTCGACAAAGGACCGTCAAGTCAACAAAACTGGCATGGAAGAGGACGTGGCCAAAGAGGTGGTAGATCGAATTACAACAATATCAAATGTTATAAATGTAACAAACAGGGGAACTATGCGAAAGATTGCAACTCCAATAGTTGCTACAACTGTGGTAAAATGGGACATCTTGCAAAAGACTGTCGTCTCAGAAGAAAGGTAGAAGAAACAATAAATCTTGCCCTAGAAACAGAATCGAATGAAGGATTTCTGTTAATGATTCAAAAGGAAGCATATGCAGAAAATGACATTATGTGGTACATGGACTCAGGAGCAAGCAACCACATGTTTGGTCATAAGCACCTGTTCAAAGAAATAAAGAAGATTGATGATGGTTATGTTTCTTTTGGAGATGCGTCGAAAGTAAGAGTCAAAGGAAAAGGAACAATCAGTTTCTTGCAGAAGGATGATTTGATAGGATCTATCCAAGATGTGTATTATGTACCAAACCTCAAAGCAAATATTTTGAGTTTGAGACAACTTACAAAAAAGGGTTATTCGATTCTCATGGAAGATCGAAGCTTTCACTTAAAAGACAAGTCAGGACGTTTGGTTACTCAAGTCGAAATGGGGAGAAATCGAATGTACAAGTTGAACTTGAGAAGCATTCGAGAAAAATGTTTGCAAGTCAATGTTGAAGACCCAGCATCCCTGTGGCATCTTCATTTTGGTCATTTACATCAAGCTGGACTAAGGAGGTTAGCAAAGAAAAATATGGTGCATGGACTGCCAGACATGGAATTCGAAGGAAAATTCTGTGAAGATTGTGTGTTTGGCAAACAGACAAGAACCTCATTTCAATCGAAGGCAGAATATCAGGCCAAACAAATTCTGTAATTGATTCACACTGACATATGTGGACCAATTACCCCAGAATCCTTCAGTGGCAAAAAGTATTTTATATCCTTTATTGATGATTTCGGAAAACTTGGGTGTACTTTATGAAATAAAAATCTGAAGCCTTCGAAGTATTCAAGAAGTTTAAAACAATAGTTGAAAAGCAACAGACAAGCACATCAAAGCCCTTCGATCAGACAGAGGTGGGGAGTATACTTCGACAACCTTTATGAAGTACTGTGAAGAGCAAGGCATAAGAAGATTTCTGACTGCAGCTTACTCACCCCAACAAAATGGTGTAGCAGAAAGGAAGAATCAAACAGTCTTTGACATGGTTCGATCAATGCCGAGGAGCAAAAAACATGTCGAAGGAATTTTGGGCAGAAGCAGTACAATGTGCTATCTACGTTCAAAATATATGTCCACATTCGAAGCTGGAAGATTTAACACCTCAAGAAGCTTGGAGCGGTCGAAAGCTAACTGTGTCTCACTTCAAAGTGTTTGGAAGTGTGGCTTATGCACATGTACCTTATCAAAGAAGAACAAAGTTGGAAGATAAGAGTCATAGATACATACTCATTGGATATGATGAGAAAACAAAAGGTTACAGACTTTTCGACTCAATAAACAAAAAGGTGATAATGAGTAGAGATGTTCGAGTGAACGAAGAAAGCAAGTGGGACTAGGACAACTCAACTGAAGTTATGGTCGAAGTACTAGATGCTATATCAAAAGACACTTTGACAGAAGCAGAAAACTCTAATGATGAAGAAGGACCCTCACAGCCCAGGTTGTGAAGTTTACAAGACTTGTATGAAAACACATAAGAAGTGCATCTCGTATGTTTGTTGGCAGACACTAAAGATGTCAGTTTCAAAGAAGCAATAAGAAACAAAAATTGGAAGGATTCCATGAATTAAGAAATCAAGGCCACCGAACGCAATAATACGTGGGAACTAGAAGAGTTACCAAAAGGAAGTCAAACAATTGGTGTGAGATAGATGTTTAAGAAAAAGATAAATGCACAAGGTGAAATAGAAAGATGCAAGGCACGACTTGTGGTGAAAGGATACAAGCATAAAGCAGGAATTGATTATGATGAAATCTCCGCACCTATTGCAAGAATGGAGACTATTCGACTGCTCATATCTCAAGCTGCTCAATACAAATGGAAAATACATCAAATGGATGTCAAGTCAGGCTTTCTGAATGGCGTGCTCGAAGAAGAAGTTTACATCGAACAACCCCCTAGATTCATGAAAATCGAAAATGAAGGAAATATGCTAAAACTAGAAAAGGCCCTTTTATGGGCTGAAGCAGGCACCACGAGCATGAAATACTAGAATTGACACATACTTCAAAGAAAATGGATTTCAACAATGTCCCTTTGAACATGCCTTGTACGTGAAGAAGAAAAAAGAGAAAATGCTGCATGTTGCTCTCTATGTTGATGATTTGATTTTCTTGGGCAACAATAATCAGATGATCGAAGAGTTCAAAGGCACAATGACACAAGAATTTGAGATGACTGACTTAGGCCTGATGAAATACTTTCTTGGTCTGGAGGTTCAACAGGAAGAAACGAGAATCTTAATCTCACAAGAAAAGTATGCAAAAGAGATTCTGAAAAGATTTAAGATGGATAACTACAATCCCATTTCGACACCAATGGAGCCAGGCGCAAACCTTTCAAAATTTGATGGGGGAGAGCGTGTCGAAGCAAACAAATTTCGAAGCTTGGTGGGAAGTCTTCGATACCTCACATGCACAAGGCCAGATCTTTTGATGAGTGTTGGAATTGTGAGTCGTTTCATGGAAGAACCAGTTGTTGCACACTGGAAAGCTCTGAAGAGAATCCTTCGATATGTCCAAGGAACTGTGTCACTTGGAATGTTCTATTCGAAAGTAGAAGAATACAAGTTAACTGGCTACTCTGATAGAAATTGGTGTGGTGATATTGGTGATCGAAAGAGCACTTCAGAATATGTGTTCTTCATGGAAAACAATGCTTTCACCTGGCTGTCAAGGAAGCAACCCATTGTAACTCTTTCGACCTGTGAAGCAGAGTATGTAGCAGCATCGTGGTGTGTATGCCATGCAATATGGCTGAGAAGATTGCTGGGCAAGATGAAATCGAAACAGGAAGATGCAACAATAATTCAAGTTGACAACAAATTTGCAATCGAACTCGCGAAGAATCCAGTCAACCATGAGCGAAGTAAGCACATTGATGTTCGATTCCATTTTATTCGAGAACATGTGAAGGATGGAAGCGTCGAACTAAAGCATGTTGCAAGCAAAGATCAAGCAGCAAACATCCTTACAAAACCACTGTCGAATGAGCTTTTCGACAGAGGCAAGAAAATACTAGGCATGATGGATCGAATGCATATTTGAATTTATGGGGGAGTTTTGTTGGTTAAATTCAAATCAGTCTTTGATAAATATTCTATCATGTGACTCTATATAAATCACATTGTATGTCACATTGTATGTCATTTTACAAGTTAGTTTGGACGATATACAAAAAAAAAGTTTATAGTCCACTCTCATTCTCTTTATATTTCTTCAGTTAATACACTTAATTACAAGAGATTTTGTTTGTTACAATATTTTTTTTAAAATTAAACGTTATACTTTTATATTTTTTTATATAACTTTTATAAACAATTTTTTAAATTAGCTGTACTAAAAATTGATTAAAATAAATTCTCAAAATATGATATTTTATGAATACTTTTAGATAATAATATTTTGAAAAGTCCTTTAAAAAAATTATTTTGAATAACTTTTTTAAATATAACTTTTATAAAATGTGTGATCTATTAAGAGAATGAATATATAAATCTAGATGTCAAAATCATTTTTTTTAATTTGTAACAAATGAGTTCGAAATAACTTATTACTTTTGTTTAAATTTTT